GGGCGGGGCCGGCGCTGGGCACACGGCTGCCCGGGGCAGGGGCGCTGTCACCCGTCTCCTTCCCGGGGCCTGAGCGCCGCTGCCTCCTTCTTGTGACGGGTTTTCCGCGGAGTTCCCGCTCTGCGGGTTGCGAGGGCGCCTCGGGAGCTCCTCCTGCGGGAGGCGTTTGCAGCTGAGAGCGGTGCCCTTGCTGCTGTGCCGGGGCAGGGCGCTGCAGCGAAGCAGCTGCTCAGGGCCGGGGTGCGGCTGCTGCTGGGCGCCTCTCGCCTTGCTTTCAGAATCCCGACAGGACTCGAGCTTAAGGTTTTGTTAATGCTGACAAACTGGGGCAGTGCTCGTCTCGGTCTCATTTTTGTTCTTCCTCCCAGAGCTGTTCTTTCCAAAGTTAAAGCTTAACTCCATTATCCACTTGAAATCTGAGATGTTGTGGTGCTGGTGGATACGGGTTAGGGGAGAACTCTGTAGAGTAGGGATGATGGTTGGACTCGGTGATCCCGAGGGTCTTTTCCAAGTGATTCTATGAAACTCAAGAAGGATTCAACTGAAGTGCTAAGTTTATTGTAAATAAATAATTTGTAACATAAAGTAAGCATCTGCAAAAAAACCCAAGATAGACTAAAAATAGTGTTATTTTCACAGGCTGGGGGAAGGTACAGGTGCAAACAGCATGAAGGAACCACGTACTTGTATGTTTTTATGGTAGTGCTTTATTCAGTTGTGCTGAGCTGTTCCTGCAGAGACTACTTATTTAAGAAAAAAAACAACCCATACCAAATGTCTGTGTCAAGTTGGAAACCTGGTAGCTGCAGGAGACAAAGTTATCTTAGTGCATATTGCCACATTTTCCCTTACCTATCCCTGTTTAGAGAAGAGACTGATGGGATACAAATATGCGGACTGGGAAGTCCCATCCATAGGCTGAACTGAACGGAATCAGGGTATTGAGGAGAAGCATCACGTTTTCCTGTGGGATGAGGACTTGAGGCTGGGCTCTGCCACCTTTCCCCATTGTGGTATGAGTTGTCACCGGATGTTGTCGGGCTGTCTTTGCTGGAATTCGGAGGAGTGATACACATCCTTCTGCCCCATTTTGAGGTGCAGTGTTACCTACTACTAGTCAGCTCCTCAGTTACACCATCTGGGGCATCCTGGAAATACTGAAGTATTTCTCTGAAGGTTAATATTCATTTAATTATTAAAATGAGAGGCACAAATGGAATTTCAGAGTTTAGTCCTCTGGAACTTCTCTGATCACAGCTATGGAATGCTTTGTCTTCCAGGGGTTTCCAGTGTGTGATACTAGATCAAGAATGGTTTGGGATACTTTATTCTAATTTTTTTTCCATTCCAAATGGAAAAAGGGAAACGCCTTTAAGTGTGTGGGCTAAATGAAACAGAATACAAAAGGACTCTTTGGTGAGTTGCTAACAATAGATTGGGGCAGTTGCTTTGTTTCATAGTAACTAAACCAGTGATGTTTGAGAACATAAAATATGAGGGATAAGAGATGGGGAAGGAAAAAAAAAAAAGTAAAGGAAGAAAACAGGCTGCTGAAAGTAAATTAAGGATTTATTTTTTTTCTCTCCAGTATAGAAGTGAGTATGTTCTTCCAGAGCCTATTGTCTAATGTTTGGTATGATGCAAGACTAAATGATAAACATATGCTTACACAGAGTTACTTTACTACTTGCTTAATTATTTTACATTAATTGTAGAAACAGAAATAATAATTAGAACTAGGGATAAAACCATGCTCCTTCCAACATTTTTCCTCTCTCAAGAAAGATTTAATACTAGCAAATGTATAGCAGTGATTGTTCTATAGAATAGGGATCTCCTACAATTAGTGTATTGCTTCAATTTATATTTAAAATAGATTTATACAGCCTTCAAAGTTCATCTTCTTCATTAATAATCTTCAGCATCCCCAGCACAGATAGCAAGTAAAGCACTTTCATAATGCCCTGAAGCAAAATGCTGCAAGAAAAAGAAATAAACGTTCATTCCTGTGACTATAGGTTTTAGGAATTTTTCTTCTATTGGTGTGTGACAAAGACTAGACTAATGTTGTAAGGGTTTGTAAAATATTACAGTGTTTACGTAAGGATTCTAGGCCAAGTTTTTAAAATGTCACATACCTTGGGCTTTTATTGCTTTAACACCTAGTAGCAATGTACCTTTCATAGGTTGGATCAAACCTAATTAATACTCCTGAAGTTTAATACAAAAAAATCCAGAGTAATTTCTTGCAGTTGCTGCATATCTCAGAGTTGGTTATAGCAACATAAAAAAGGTAAAGTGTCTTAACAGGAGTAATTTTTGTACAATTAGTGTAAGAGCTTTCTTTTAAGAGCAAAAGTACAAGAGGAATAGTTTTCTTGAAGGTTGATACTACTTACATGCAAGAATAAAGCCAGATCTTTATCTCAGTTTTGCTCAAAAGTGGTATCAGCCTAACCTTGTAGGCCAGTGTAAAAAAGTATGGTATCGAGTGCTGTAGAAATTATTCATGCAAACTATCCTCAGCATAGTCTGCCCTATTTATGTCCTCCTCTTGCTATGGAGAGACAGGGAGTGAGCTGAGAATTCACTGCTCATTTACTTAAGTCAGCCTGAGGCACTGAGAAGATAAACTGTTGAAGAGAAGCTATTTGCTATTGTTTTTATACATTTTTTGTTTGTTTGTGGTATGTGTTTTCTAAGACAAAGTGCTTCACTGGAGATTAACCCTCTATTTTGCTGGTAGGGCTTGGCAGTCTGTGTGGTGCCAGTGCTGAATACATGCCTAAGTGTGTAAAAACTTACTTTAATGTCATGGAAGAGTGATTTCCCATATCTCTCTTTGTATCGTTGTCGTATATTCATCAAGTCAATCTCACTCCTGGCAATGAGAATCCTTATAACTGTTTTATTATGAAACCCAAAGTCCTAAAAAGAAAAGATGAGAGGAAACGTGCCAGTTGGAAGATAGGCCTTTGCCTCTTTGTACATGCTCATATGAATGTTTGATAGATAAGCCAATGAATCAAGCTACCCATCGAGACATCCTAGATTCTAAAGGAGTCCAAGCATTCAAAGGTTTTATCCTACAGAGTTTTCACATGCTGAAATAATATAATTCATGTTACTGAATACCAGAGATTCCCCATATGTCAGTCTGTTAACCAAGCACTGAAGCTTTCGAAAAGAAAAACCGGGTGAACTGTCCTAGGTACTCAGTAGCTAACATTTGGGCCTGTCGTTGTGGAGTCCGACTAAAGTGTTTCACAATTGCCGCTGAATGTGGATTCAGCGAGGTTTGTTAACCATTGATTTAGAATTTGCATAGTTTATATTCAGCTCTGTTGGATTTTAACTGTTTATAAATGAATTTTCGTATAGTAATTATGTGGTGGATGAGGACATCTAGTGGCAACAAAACGAATCAATACACATGCAGGGTTCTGAGGACTGATGACCAATTTAGACTGTTTAAAGATAAATCATAATTTTATCACCCGGACATTGCTACTGAAATCTTGTTCTCCAAAAAACATGTAATGAGATATGTTAAAAAGTTGCATGTAGAGAATTTGGTATTTGTTTGATG